TGATGACTATTTCAATTATTAACCATTATTCCTTCTGCAGTTTTAAGAAAACTTTTGGATTTGTGAATTATAACATATTCTAATTTTTATTCTTATTTAATACTGGAAATAACTACAAGATTAAAATAGTTAAATATTTTGATACATCTATAGGGGTGCATTTCACTTCTCTTTCTGAGGACCTATTGTGGAATTTCATTGCTGAATATCCTTACCCTCTGACACCAAATGGTCATTTTGTTATCGTTTGAATGTTCTGTAATCCTATTCCAACATAACGCTCCAACCCAGTTAGTGCTGTAAATGAACTAAATCATCCCATATTTCTTTAAAACATATCTGTTCCTATGCTAGTTTGCCTTGCTATCTAAAAGTGTTAAATCTGTTAAAGCGATTTCTTGATCACTTTTTATATAAGAAGCATTGAGGGCATTTAAAAGATATTTAAAATATAACCTCCAACTCTGATGTGTTTACATTTGCATTTGTGGATATTTTTAACTGCCTGCAAAGATCATATACTCTCTAAATGAAGCCTTCCTGACAATCTTATTTTTAATTATAATGAACACCCCTCACCCTTGGTCAGTACTCTCTATTTGCCCAGCCCTATTACTATATTTATTGTTTAATGTCTTACCTCTTAGAATATAAGAAGCTCCCTGAGGTCAGGGATTTGTTTTGTTTTCTGATGTATCCCAAATGCTTATAATTGTGCCTGGTACAGAACAGACAACAAATACTTATTGAATGATTGAATGAGTATACCATACATGTGTTTTTATATATAAAACAACTTTCATGTGTGAAACAAACAGTACACATCCAAAGTCTATCCAGGATCTGCCCATACCCTACCATTACTGCCATCACCCTGGCTCAGGCCAGCCAGCCTTTCTCTGCAGGACTGATACTGCTGTTCCCCACCTGGTCTCCCTACTTCCAGTGGTGCCTCTACAATCTAGACTCAAAGGGCCACTTTTGCTGCTGTGCTAAGTTAGATTTCACAGCTCAGAATCCTCAGTCGGGGAAAAAAAAGACCATGGCTTATAATGCTATAATGATCTGCCTTGTCTCTACCCCTTTCTGTCTCCAGATTTCATTCCTGCCATTCTCCCACCTAGCACTCTGCCCCCTCAGGATCTTAGCCCTTACCTTTTCCTCTGCTTAGAATGGACTTTCCTCTTTCCTTCTGCTTTCAGCTCAATTGTTATCAAATTACAGAGGCCCTTCCTTGACCATGTTAAACGCAATAGCATTCCCCACTCCTGTACCATTCTGCTTAATTTTCCTTTATCCCTGCTTTGTATTTCTTTTTTTTTAATTTTTAAAAAATGTTGGTATCATTAATATACAATTACATGAGCAACAGTTTGGTTACTAGATTCCCCCCATTATCGAGTCCCCATCACAGACCCCATTATAGTCACTGTCCATCAGCGTAGTAAGATGCTATAGTGTCACTACTTGTCTTCTCTGTGCTATACTGCCTTCCCCGTGACCCTCCCCCTGCACTATGTATGCTAAACATAACGCCTCTTATTCTCCTAATCCCTCCTTTCCCATACATCCTCCCCAGTTCCTTTGCCTTTGGTGACTGTTAGTACATTCTTGGGTTCTGTGAGTCTGTTGCTGTTTTGTTCCTTCAGTTGTTTCTTTGTTCTTATACTCCACATATAAATGAAATCATTTGGTACTTGTCTTTCTCTGCCTGGCTTATTTCACTGAGCATAATACCCTCTAGCTCCATACATGTTGTTGCAAATGGTAGGATTTGTTTTCTTCTTATGGCTCAATAATATTCCATTGTGTATATGTACCCCATCTTCTTTATCCATTCATCTACTGATGGACACTTAGGTTGCTTCCATTTCTTGGCTTTTGTAAAAGTGCTGCGATAAACATAGGGGTGCATATGTCTTTTTCAAACTGGGCTCCTGCTTTCTTAGGGCAAATTCCTAGGAGTGGATTTCCTGGGTCAAATGGTGTTTCTATTTTTAGTTTTTTGAGGAACCTGCATACTGCTTTCCACAATGGTTGAACTGATTTACATTCCTACCCCTGCTTTGTATTTCTTCATAGTACTTACGTTACCACTCCATCTACTTAATAACTTATTTGTCTCTTCCCCCCCCCAGTTAGAATATCATTTTCATAAAGGCATGAAATTCTGTTCAGTGCTGTATCCCTAGTGTTAGAGAATATCAGACACGTAGAAAGCATGTGACAAGTACGGCTTGTGTGCAATCGGTGTATTGTAAATAAATGCACAAAAATAGAAGTGTTGCTAATGCTTTTTATAATGTAAAACTTTGAGGGAGCCTTTGTAATTGCCAATATAAATGCAAGAACATAAATTACTATGGCAGTGTTTATTGTATTTAAGTATCAGGAAATCAAAAAATAACTCAGGCAATAATAATTATTATGAACTGTGTCTCTTTACAAGCACCAAAGGGCATCTTCACATTTGTACCAACACTGTCCCCTGACTCCCACCCCCAGGGCTATGCTGGGCATTTTTCTCTAAACCTCCATTAAAGATGCTGAACTATTATATTCTCACATATAGGAAATCTTGTCTATAGAATTGTTGCAGGTTGGCAATAATGGTGAGACCATATTTTTCTAGAAATGGAGTGCAAAATGCAGATTCACAGTATGTTAACACATAGTATCAAAAGAGGTGAGGAGAAATGTTATGCTATTAAATTAAGGTCTTTACTGTCAATATATTTGAACAAAGACTCAGGAGGTAAATATGAATAGGGTTCAAATTCAGTGTGCTGCTGTCAAAGCTGCTGAAGTAGAGGACACATGCTCATGTACACAGTGAACAAATCAATGAGTCCATTTTCCATCATAGGAAATGGAAATGCTTTGGGGTATAAGGAGATATAAGATACTTTTTCTTCAATTACTTTTGCTTCTTGAGAACGTATTTACTGATTCTTCCATTCATGTTATACAGGATTTAATGTTATTTTGTTACATTAGAGATTCTCTGAATATATCTTCCTTCCCATTATTTGTCAGTTTTATTTCCTGGCAAAAACTACTTACCATATTTCAAAAATTGGAAGTAAATTATGAAAGTGCTGTTGCTTTTTCAGAGTTGTTATGGCCATAAATTCATAACTGTTTTGAATATTTGTTCTATTTGATCTAATATCCTCACACATTGCTTGCCTTAGGATTTGAGGTTTCACTTCAAAGCCAAGGCCAGTGGCCCATTATCAAGGCTGTTTGAATGCTGTTTTATGTATCCTTAAATGCTGGAAATAAAACTACAATTTAACCAGGGAGTACACACCCATGAAAACATCCAGATTCACTTTGGAATAGTTACTGTAAAGAGGGAAAAGAGACAGACTACTACTAATGTATTTCTCTTAGTTCATATTTATTTATTTTTATAATAAGGTATAAGAAATGGGAAGTTTTCCAATAGTTTTTAATCACTCCATGCTTGTTAATAATTGGGATGCACTGGAAAATAATGCCACCATGAGCAATACACCAAAAAATAAATTAATATGAAAAATTGAAACTAGGATATATATTTTATACTACACATTACATAATTGGACCACATAGTTTGTGATTAGTAAGAAATAATTATTTCAATCATAAATATTCTCCAAAACAATTCTAACAAAAATTGAAGTGGAACAAATTCTTGGCATTGCTACTTTTGAGAGCATAACTTATTTGAACATTCATGAAAGTGAAATGGCTCATTTTAAAAGGCATTTCATTAAATCCTCAGTGTGCTTATAAAACCAAATTAAGGTAAAGTAAAAAAGTTTTGTTTATTTAACAAATACTTGCATAGCACTGAGCGAATGTCAACCATTGTGTTTAAGTACTTTACAACTGTAAGCTCATTTAAGCCTCATCACAACCCTATGAGGTAGTTAATATTACCACTTACAATGAGGAAATCGTTTAGTTGGGAGTCTAAGGCCACGCATGTAGTAGGTGGCAGAGCCAGGATCCTGCCCAGGAAGTCACCAGCTTGTGCTCCTTATCCTGTGCTCTGTGGCCACTCAGCACCTGTGTTCTCTGTGTTTTTACTTCCTGCAGGGCATCGTGTTATATGTACATCTTGTAACACTGAGGAGTCTTCCTTTGTATCTCATTTGTCTCACTGCTGTTTCTTACTTGCCTGGCTAACGCAGCTGATCTGTCTATATTAAAGACTCTAATGTGTATTAATTATAATTGGATTAAATTAATTATATTAATTAAATACTTTAAATTAATTATAACTGGATTTCTCTTAAACATTTATCTAGAGTATGAATTGTCCTTACTCCCCTAAAGTATTAGGTGGGAAAGTTTTTATTTTCCTCTGGTAAAAAGCAGTATACAAAATAACTTAAGACAGCACATTTTTGAAATGTCTACCTGTGAATTTTGGGACATCCTCAGGTATTTTCAGCTGTATACAAGGTTATTAGGCTTTTGTGTAAGAGGCACATATCTGATTCTAAACTCTTACATGTGAGAGGTTAAAAGCTATGAAGAGATTAAGCTTCCCTCATTTTCTCTGTGCAGATTCCTGATCGTTAAGTTTAGTGTTGTTCATGGTGATCCATGAAGGTCTCCTGTATCACATTTTATTAAACTAAGAGATGTTGTTTTTAACAAAGTTGAAGATGATATTCAAGTAGAAGATTCCAAGATGGATAAAAACCCAACCTTTATCTTAATTTTGGATAAAATCACAAAATAGAAATCCAAGTCCTTTTTATGCACTGAGTAAAGGCTGTGGTTTCCAGGATGCCTTGGAAGTTAGTAATTCTTCAGTATTAAAAAAAAAAAGTCAGATGCTTAAGGACAAAATTAAAGGCAGCAATGCCCCTTTTCTGATGGCCCAGCTCAGTCTTCAGGAATTGTTTCCTGACTGAAATGTTAGAGTTGATCATACTTGTGTGCTTTTGTTATGGTTCCTGTGAAATATGCCTGAGACCATTTTTTATTCTTTTTCTTTCCAGATGACAGAAATGATGCTCAGGAGAGTAGTTTAAGAGACTTAATACAAGAACTGCCAGATACCCACTACTGCCTTCTCAAGTACCTATGCTGGTTCTTGACAAAAGTAGCCAAGAACCATGTGCAGAATCGCATGAACGTTCACAATCTCGCCACTGTATTTGGGCCAAATTGCTTTCAGTAAGTCAGTGGAGTTTTGCTATTAATATCATAATGTACCCCTCCTCCTTTACTATGGCCTGAAATTACTGGGCTATCGAAGCAAATTTTAGACCCAAAAGTCAACTTACATTGGCGAAGTTCTGTCTTGCTGTTGGGCATTTTAGCCTTGTTTTTCATCCCAATTTTGAAGAAGGTAAATATGCCTTTTTATGAAATCATAATTTATAATATTTCAAGTAGCCTTATTTAAAATTCTGGAAATAAGTTTTACTGTAAAAAAGGCATTTAAAATAATCTAATATGAAACACTGATTAGCAGAAAGGAAGTATGATATAATGCATCATTATTTTAATAGTGATAAAGATAAAATAATCGCTAATGGTGGAAAATTAACAAGCAGAATAGGTCAGTGATGGAAAAATGTAACCTTAGCTACATTTATTTATCTTCTATGAATAAACTAGACTAGAAATAAACTGTTCTCCTTGGTGGTAGTTGCTATATCCCCAGCCACAAGGTTTTTGTAAAGCTTTATTTTCCTTAAATCTCTTTGATTGTTAATACTTGAAACATGATCTTGCAATCCAGAGACTTTTGTTTTTAACTCTTGTATTAATCCCTGCTGATATCAAATACATCCCCTATAATTATAAGACAAGAGAAAGAGAGAATACTCACACTTAAAAAATATCAGCAAGTTTTTTTAATAGCATATCTGCTTGTCCAGTCCATTAACCTATGGACTCATTCAGCTGTCCAGACTAGTAATAGTACAGTCTTCAGAACGACTGTCTAAATATAAACTCTGGCGTAGATAATACTGACTGCAGGGTTCCAGGACATTCACAGTCTGATATGAGGAGAACTATCCCCATTGTACCCTTAGGGATTTCCTTTTTCAATAATGGCATTTCATAGGTTATATTAGGGTCTCAGGAATAAGTCAAACACAGACACCACTACTTTCTTATTCTGGAGCTTTGTGGTAATAAAAAGACTGTACTTGTCTTTGTACTTCTATCTGCTGAGTACATCTTTGGTGACTACATACAAGAAATAAAAGTTAAAGACTTCAGTAAGTGTGAAAAGCTAGATTTTAGAAGAGGGGAAAATTACTTATCACTTAAAAATTTTTTTTATTGTGAAATGTTCATAAAATAAAATTTACCATTTTAACTTTTTAAGTTTATGGTTCAGTGGCATTAAGCACATCCACATTGTTGTGATTTACTCACTGGTATATATTTCTAAACTTAATGGTTATGTAAGTCACTACAAGGTACCTCTCTATTCTCTGTTGGAATAGAGTATAATGCTTAATGGCAGATTGTGTTTATTGAGCACTTGCCAAGTAATATACTGTCTCATTTATATCTGATTCTAAAGAGGCAGCAGTGTTTCATTTTCTCCCTGAAACTCCTCTGTTTAGGTCAAAGAAAAGTAAAGCCTTCAGCTCCTGTGACCACAGTTAGTTCCATATGTTATAAAGACTAGGAGAAAGCTGCCATTCAAGGACAATTCACCATGAACCACTAAAAGACAAAGGAAATGTTTTTCTTAATAAGGTGAATACATTGTATAGTCAATAGATGAAGAAGATTTTTTTCTAATATGGGAACATCCTCATGAAATAATTACTGAAAGAATCTAATATTTTAGATACAAAATGATATTGGCTATGAAATACAAAATAAAAATGGAAATAAATATATAATACTTACAGTATATGATCTTTTGGTGCTCTGGATGCTGGGCTTCTAGGTGACTCTTAATTGCAAGGTTTTTGACATATAGTTCCAGTTACGGGTTTATTACATTTAGGTGATTGGGTAATATTGTCACTATAAAATATTCAAACTGTATAGAGGTATATACAATAAGAATAAAGTATCTTCTATTAGTCCCTCCCATTCCAACTTCTTCCTAGAGATATAACCAATAACTGGTAGGTATATATCCTTCCATCCTTCTTTCTTAACAGAGTCATAAATCTATTTTAAAATATAAATCAGATCACGATGCATATATTATGAAGCTTGATTGTTTTTATGGTAGCACTGGAACTTTTAATGTTACTAACTTTCTTTTTTAACTATTGAATTCTGTGAATTTGCCCTAACTTGCGCTCTACTGATGAGCACTGAGATGGCTATCATTGAACGTCATTAGTGTGGCTCTTCATGTGCATCTGCAACTATTTATCTAGAATAGATAGCCTAGACATTGCGTGGCTGAGGAGTTCATACATTTTTAAATTAGTATGTGGTAGCCTTCATAAGGCTGTAACAATTTGTTTCTACCAACAGTGTTTAAGAATACTCATTTCCCTGTAACCTTGCTATGCTGAGTGCTATCAGATATTTCAATTGTTCTTGATCTAATGGGAAAAAAATGATATCCTAATTATTTGTGAGACTTAATATATTTTTAGATTTTGGTTGGTGGGTATTAGTATTTTCGTTTCTCTGTATCATCTGTGCATATACTGTGCTTGTTTCTTATTTTATCTTTTATTTTTTTGTTTTTATTGCTTTGTGGGAGTTCTTTAGGCCTTCTAGAAAGTAATCCTTTGTCTATTATAAAAATTGCAATATTGTTTGCCTTTTACCTTTACTTACAGGGATTTATTATATTAAACTTTAAAGTTTTTAATTTACTTAAAGGTGTCAACTCTTTCTCTTTTTGTGGGGATTTATATTTTAGTGATATTTCTAAATATTTCTTGCTTAACAATATTATCTTTCTAAATTATAAAGGAATACACTTTTTTCTCTTTAATATTTACAGCTTTTTATGATGAGCTATTTATCTAGAATTTATGTATGTCATGTATGGATTCAGTTTGATTTTTCTTCAAACAGATAGCTAATTTTTGACAAACCATACATTGAATAGTATCTCTCTCTCCTTGCTAATTTGCAATGCCAGCTCTATCACATATTAACATCCCACACATACACAAGTTTGTTTCTGGTTTTTATATGGCTCCTTCTTATCTTCCTCTTTTTTCTATTACATTTTCTCTTTCCAAGGTATTTTAGAATCTCCATGGTAAGTGATTTATCTCATTGTGGTTTCAATAACTAATAACATCAAATATCTTTTCATGTGCTGTTGGCCATTTGTAATCTTTGGAGAAATTTCTCTTCAAATTCTCTGCCCATTTTTTAATTGGGTTATTTGACTTTATCATTGAGTTGTAAGAATCCTTTATGTATTTTTGATATAAGTCCCTTATGAAGTAGAGGATTTGCAAATATTTTCTCTCATTTTATGAGTTGCTTTTTCATTTCCTCGATTGTATCTTTTCAAGCACAAAGTTTTAATGTTCATTATGTCTATTTTTTCTTTTGTTATTTATGCTTTTGCTGTTGTATCTAAGAAGGTTTTTCCTAGCCCATTAAGATATTTTCTTCTTACAGTTTTATAGTTTTAACTCTGACATTTAGGTCTATGAAGTTAATTTGGGGTTAATTTTTGTGTTATGTAAGAAATGAGCCCAATTTTATTCCTTTAAGTGTGGATGTGCAGTTATTCGAGTACCGTTTCTTGAAAAGACTGTCCTCATTGGACTATCTTAGCACTCTTGTCAAAAATTGACTATAATTTTTAGAGTTTATTTCTGGACTTTCAATTTTATTCCTTTGATTTATATATCTGTCTCATTTCCCCATTCCACACTGTTTTGAAACTGTAGCTTTTTACTAAATTTTGAAATCAGGAAGTGTCAGTCTTCTGACTTTGTTCTTTTTCAAGATTATTTAAGCTATTCTAAGTCTTTGCATTTCTAAGGATCAGCTTGTAAATTTCTGCCACACACACACAAAAAAGAACCCAGATGATATTGCAATAAGAATTCTGTTAAATCTGTAGATCAGTTTGGGAAGTATTACCATTTTAATAATATTAAATCTTCCAATCCATGACCATGGAATGTCTATCACTTACATCTTTAATTCTTTCAACAGTGTTTTATAGTTTTCAAAGTACAAGTTTTATGCTTAACTCTATTCTTAAATATTTTATCCTTTTTGATGCTATTGTAAATATAATTCTTTTCTTAATTTCATTTTTGGATTGATCATTGTCAGTGCTACCATAATTTTCATTTTCATTTTATTTTATTATGAATGAAGTTGAGTATCTTCTGTTTGAGGGCCATTTGCCTTTCTTTCTCTTGATGTGTTCATGTCTTTTGCCCGTTTTCCTGTCAGGTTCTCATTTTTTTTTGTTTTTCCTAGTTGAATATTTTAGTCTCCTTCTCCACTAATAAACATATCTGTAACTCTGTACAAAAATCAACTTGTTACATTACTTTCAATGTAATGGCTTTGCAGAAAGTCTTGTTATGGGTTGGGTTGTTCAGGATACAAACAAACCCTAAGACAGAGGTTTCAAGCAGGAGTTTTATCATGTAGTACTCTTTGGAATTGTACCTGTAAAAGAAAAGAAGGACGTAGGATTAGGCAGATGAAGTTGAACTTAAATGCAGTTGTAGCCAAGGCCTCAGAGCCTCTAGTCAGTCCCAGAGTTACCTAGAAGCTGAGATGGCCTTTCAGAGACACCCCAATTTAAGTTAAGGAGATTGGTGCATTTACCCCCATTTCCATCAGTCTTTGAAGATGAGCTGTTTCTAGGGAGGTGGTGTAATCTTGAGCAAGGGCTCAGCTATGAGCCATAAGTGGGCAACACTCTCAGCAGCAGGAGTAATGAATACTTCTAGAATGAAGGGGGCATCTGAGTAGCACCTCACAGTCTCCTTACTATGTTTCTATAATAGTGTTATAATAATAATGCTTTTATAATATACTATGACACAGTAATATTTTTCTATGAAAAATTTAGCAGATTTTGTATTATTAGGTATATGTTATGTATTATTTTTCTAACGAAATTCCTAATATCTCAATTTCTAAGACAAAAAAGATCCTCCTAAAGAATATTATTCTTAGAGATTATCAGGAATTGCTTTCACAAAGTTTTGATAGTTATTAAAATGGGCACTTGATATTTCAGT